TTAGAGGACATTTCCGCTTATATTTACAGGAGATATCCACGCAATCAATTAGAACTGCAACTGCGATGGGTATAAAATGCGACTTTTGATCATTTGCCGCCATGAAAACGGGTTTCTGTTCGCTGGAACGGTAATGAACCGCCAGTCTCCGTTATGAAAACAGATGTAAAAATATAAATAAACCCAAAATGAATGTAATTTCAGTTTCTTATTGAAGCGAGGGCTATTTTCATTCAGTCTGGTGTATGGGAAGTTGAGTGGAGGGGCGAGGATTTGCATTTACATAAGCTTGTTGCTGGCCAAATGTTTTTTTTTTGTAATTTAAAAATAACAAGTGTGAATACATTCACATGTGGAAGAAAGATTATCGATGGAGTTGTAGTTCTTCAACTAGATAGGTTAAGACTTTCTATTGGAAAGTACAGAACACAGATATTTAATCCTTTATTAAAACAAGTTTTTTATTTCTATTTTTTCCGCACTCTGTTCAAAGGTTGAGTGGCATTTTTAACGGGAAGTTGACATAGTTGCTACCTTTTTTTGCAGGCTGCTAATCTCTCATTTAATGATCCATTTCCGTTTGGAGAACAGAGAACCGAATACTATAGGGAAACTAATATAAATTAGTGCCCCATAACAAAAAAAAAACGGAATCGAAAAACAGTCATCAAAGTCATTTGTGCAGTGTGCAGCAGCGAGCAGATGTCTGTCTGTCTGACTGAATGACTGACTGATTGTTATGAGGGGAAGGGCAAGAACAGGGGAGATCGAATTTGTCCACGTGCCCCCACTTTTGTATTCGTTTTTCTCCACTTAGTATTCCCACAGAATGTACGGAAGAGCCCGAACAGAACGGCCGTAGAAGGAAGAGAATCAATGTAAGGAAGCAAACGAAAAAGAGTTTAGTTAAAGTTCAATATATTCATAGTTTATGAGAACTGATTTCTAATAATAGGTATAAACATTCTAAAAGTATTACTGGTCTCAGGGAATAGCTACGAATTACAAGTTGTTTATCAAATTATTGAAATCTATTAAAATAAAATTTTTATTAAATATTTAAATTCATGCCATATTGACAATTCATTCACACCAATAAAATTTCGTTTACTTTCAGTTAATGAAGTGGAGTTTAAGCAAAGAGAGAGACAGGAGAGAACCTGTTAAATAAATACAAAAACGTGTCAAAGTTGTAAATTTCATTATAAAGAATGAACCTTTTTCAACTTGCTTGTAGGTTAGCTGTTTTTTAAATTAAATTCTTAATAAAATATGAAATTAATATTAAATACTAGCCAAATATTAACCAACAAATATAGGGGGGCTTGGCAATTGATATGTGGTCTCGTCTATGTCTTATACGTACTATATAAGATATTTTATGAATCGAAAATATTTACTCAAAATACACAAATCTATAAATATTTCACACCAGAAAATTTTCTGAAAATTCTATAAAATATGCTCTTATTTCTTGGGACAGTTGTCTCGCTCTCTTTAGCTATATAGATCATCCACAAAAGATCTATTTTATTTTTTTCAAGTCTGAGTGTGGGTGTTGCCAGCTTTTTATACGCATTTCCTTTGATTTCGATACCAGCCAGACGTCACAAAAAATTCTTCTGTCTTTGCGTGGATATAGATACATACTTCGTATATAGAAATATATAGAAAAACAAAAGAACATATTTGAACTTGACAGAGAAATGTTTTTCTTCCAATTTGGTCAAGCAAATACATTTCCATTGATTAAAAAGCTAATCACAATCCGCACAGAATATATCTCGTGGGGTCATAAGTGAATGTACATTTCTTTGTGTGCTTGTTTGCACCTTTGCAAGTGGAACGCCCCAGTGCTCTGACATCACATTGTGCTACGAATGAAGTACCACAAATACGCCCAACCTCCCACTGGGCGGGACACGTGATGTAGATTTTCCCGTTAGCAGTTGTTGCCCCACCACTTTTGAGAATTTTCCACAAATGCAAATTGGTTCTCTCTATCTACATATCCATCTGATCTGTCTATCTGTATTTCCATTTCCACGAAAGGAAAGGAACCCCCGCTTTGCAGTACTCCGTCGCTTTTCTATGTTTGCCCTTGAACTTGGCCGCGATAATTAGATTTCCTCCGTTCTGTTTTCTGTTTGCCCCGCTGTAAAAGTGAAGTAGATGGCAGGGTCGGTTGATGACTTGCTGCCTCGTAAACAAATGCAATGTGTTTGACTTTAATGAGCTGCACTGAGCTGCCTGGAAAAAATTTAAAATATAATTCTAAAAGCAATATGGAGACTTGAAGAGAAATATATTTTGACAATTTCCCCCATGAAGTTTTAATTTCTTTGATTTATTGCGCCCTGCTTAGGGAGTTTTTATCTGTTTTTTTTCTGTGGGCTTAAAGTTGAAGTGCCAATCGATCCCATTGATTGCCTACAAAGAAAGCTATCAGCAATGAAGTTGCTTCCAAGTTGATTTCGTATCTGTTCTAACCGCTAATCAAATGATCCAGTAATTCCGGCCAGAAATCAATACAAATTAAATGCTTTTATTTCAGATATGTTGCACACGGAAACACACAAACGAACGTGAACGTGATTTTCAATTTAATTTGAGAGTTCTAATTCCCAATGAATTTTAAATAGACAGCCGCACAATTAGAAGCTACGTACTGTACATGAGGGGGTTTTTCTGTGTAAATATCTGGAACTAACTTGCTGGGAAAATTCGCATTTCGTTTGAAAAAACTCTGGATATCATACCACAAGTAAATAAGGTAAATCAGGTGGTTTATGAATTGGATTTTGTGTTTGTCCCACGTTCTGTTGACATTTGGCACGTTCCAGTGTCTCATCGAATTAGCGCTACAGTCAGCACAACAAAACACAACACAGAAGCTCTTCTTCCCCTTGCAGCACGCAAAAAGTCGTTCTACGGCGGCTACTACGGGTCTCTCTATAAGGTGCACAACAGCCCAGAAACTCGTGCTACCCCTAATTAATCATTGCAGTTCGCTTGCAATCAAAACAAGTGCAAAGGGAAGGCCCATGACGATGGAACACTTCGTCCCATACGAGCGATATTCCAAACAAATGGCAGTGCTCTTAATTATCTACTTAGAAGAGAACCCATAGCATTTTCTCCCTATTGACAGAATCAGGGAAATCGGATTAACTTTTCCTTTCTCTTTGGTTAATGTTTTGCGGCGGTTTGTTTATAATTTATATGTATTTAGTATTCCATATATTCCATTTTCTTTATATTTATTTGCAAAATTATGGTACACTAATGAGATTTCATAAGAGATTTTCGGTCTGAACTTTGACGTCAAACAGTTTCTATTTCCAATTTTTAAAAAACATTTTTCAGCGTTGTTCTATCCTCAGAATAATCTAAGTGATTTATTGAAGTGTTTTTCATGTGACAGACCCTAAATTACGCATTTTTTTTAAGGGAATATAGGGGTATATTCATTATATATGTACATATTAAGTACATACATACCGTATTGTGAAAGTAATGTTCAACAAAATATCTATAATTTATGGAAAAACATTTTCAACTGATTTACTTTTTACTGTATTTTATTTATTATATTATATATATATATAACTAAAAATCACTCATGTATTTTTCACACACTTTTTTGTCGAAAACTTTGCCAATTTTTCCCGCTCTTTATTACTTTTTGTGTGCTGTTTCTCAGTGGCTTTAAAACTGTAAAACTAAGACCGGGCGACCGACATGGAGGACCCGAAACTTACCCGCAGAACAAATGCAGAACAAAACGGCTGTTTTTTTTTTGTTCTTGTGCTGCTTTTGGTTTTGCAGCTTCCCGCTCTTTGAACTTGAATCGTCCTTTGACTGGAGCTGGAGAGGAAGTCTGCCGCTTCGTGCTGTTTTTGTTGTTGTTGTTGTCTTTTGCACAAAAGAAAGTGCACGTAATTATATATTAAAATATACAGCAGCAGAGAGAAGTGAGAAGAAGGCCGGACAAAATTACAGTTTGCTTGTTACAAAAAACAGTTACTTCTTGCGGTCCACAGACGCCGACACAGACGACACACACACTGGGGGACGGACGGGACACAGTTATGTGAACGAATTATCTTCTCTGGCTGCACTTGGGCTTTTTGGGGAGAAGCGCGCCCGACGAATTCGCTAAAACGACTGATATCGTTGATATGGACAGGCCTCCGAGTAAGTAGCTCGACAGAATTGTACGCCAGCAGCGACGACGACGTTGGCAGAGGCAGAGGCAGAAGCAGCGACTTGGCATTCTCTGGTGCCAGCGCGGGAAATGTACGAAATGTTCTGAAGCTCTGGTTGTTGTTTTTTTTTGGTTTTGCTGTTTACGGTTTTGCACGGTTTATGCTTAATCTTCGAGCGCCTATTAAATTCAATAAGCGGCTGCGCTGCCTGCGCTGCAAGCGAATCTTTGACGTCACAACTGGCTGGTGGCTGGGGTAGAAAGCAGACTCCTTGCCATGGAGAGTTTATCACGTCACAGCCAAAAACAGACATACACGCCCACATCCCATATTGTGAGCTTACCGGTGTAGGCGGAGAGGGATGCTGCTGACTCAGATTTTTGCTCTGCTCTGCGTCTGTATTGTCCTTGGCAGAGGACATGCCACGCCGCTGCTCTCGGTCGCATTTCGTATGGGCTTACGCAAGAAACGTAAGCTTCGCACGTACGTGCATACGTGCAGGATTCAAGGACCTAAGGTTGATTTCATCAATGCATGGTTTGATTTCTGCAGACGAAAAGGATAGACAGGAAAACGAAAACAGAACACTTTAAAGCTCTTCGATAAAATGATTTGGAATATTTTGGGTGATATATTTTTCGCTTTGTATCAAAAGCTTTTTATTCATCCAATATTCTGATCCCATAAAGGCGATTCACTCTCAGGTATGCATAAATGGCATACCGGTGCCCAGAATCACAAAAGAAATATGCAAATTTGACCCATAGTATTAATTGCAGATTTAGAATTGGTTTAGCATAATATGTATTTGGTTCCATTCTCCTTTTTAAACATAAAACATCATTGCACATAATCATAAACTGCCGATGCCTCTGAGCTTATTTAAAATATTGATGTATGTATACACATATGTATATACATACATATATATATATTCTGTATATGATAGATTCAATTAGCTTAGGTGTATATATTTATTCTGTTAAATAATTGAAACGGTAGTTAGTTTTGTTGTGGTGTCTTGTCTTCCATCAGATAAATCCTTAACTACGTCTACTGGTCTCTCATTGAGTTGTGATTGCATCGCATAGTCTCTCCATCTCCGTCCGTATCCTTCTCTTTGGTTAACTTTTCATGACTTTTGCTCCTTAAACCCTACGCATTATGATATATATCTGTAGCATAATTAAAGCATTTAATTGTTCATCTTATTCATGTCCATGTTCTGCATAAATCCACAGTTAAGAATTCTTTTTAGCGCTATTTCAGTGCTTCGATATCCGCATCCTATTCCGCCTGGGTTTCTATAGTTTCACAGTGGAAACCAACGAACTTCCACCTGGTTTCCGACTGTTCAGACTTGAAGAGATTTGTGTACTTTTTGAGTATGCTGGCAAGATCATCGTGGCTCCTGGGTCCCGAACTCCTGTCGAGCATTCCGACAAGGTAGCTGGCAATGCTGGCTATCTCCGCGCCGTGGGGATGCAACACCAGATAGGCCGAGGTCAAAGCTATAACCTTGGCCTCTGCCAGGGCCAGGGATTTGAAGTTCTGCTGTAATGGAACCGATTAGTGCATCAACGATCAAGGAAACTGTCCATTTACTCACCTCTGGACTGGATGAGGTTGGAGTATTCTCTGTGCTGACTTCCAGACTGTTTGCCTTGGAACTCTCTTCTGTAATTGACTCTTTTGGTTTGTTGGCCGCAGACTCCTGCCTCTCATCATCCTCAATCTCATGGATCTCCACCACACCGCTCTGATGCTCGATAATGCGCACATCATCGTCCACCTTATCAATGTCAATTATTTCCAGCTCCGACGTTTGTCGTCGTGGTGGCAGCCTCGACTCAGATGCTGCCTCCTGGCTGCACGAGTCGCCGCTGCTGTAGTCCGCATTCGAAGCGGTGGCACTTAGAGTTGCTTCTTTGTCCTTAAGCTTGTCTGCCGTCTCCTTGATCTTGGTCTTGAGTAGCAGCTGCTTCACGCCGGCGTCCTTGAGGTTGCGTTCGAGCTGCTCAATGTGCTTGGTGTCCTTCTGCTCGCGCAGCTTGGTCTGCAGCAGTTGGGTCTGCATGTTGCGTATGGTCTCCTGCAGGACCTTGATTTGCTTCTCGCGTTGCACATAATCGCTGCGCTCCAGCGACATTTCATGGCGTATGGCCTCCAGTTGACAGCGCAGCGAATCGTTTTCGTCCTTAAACGAAGAGAAAATCAGTGGAAATTCGAGGAAAATATATATGTGTGTTTAATTACCTTGAGACTATCGCTATCATAGCGGGTTCGCTTGCCGCCCACCCGCCTATCGTAGTCGCGCTCATCGTCTGATATTTCCATCTCATCATCATCATTGATTCTGATCGAGTGCAGTTCCTGCATATATGGCATACGGTAAGAGAACATTGATTAGTTTTCCGTTGCTCTGCAATCAGTAGCATTTCTTCTGTGGTATTCGTAATCGTATTCATTGCTTACAAAAGTAAAATCTCTATAAACCTAGCTATAAAATTTGAGTATAAGGAATGTATCAAATTTTTGGTTTTCCTCGTTTCACGACTCCGCCTTACTTACCTCGCCATTTTCATATAAGTATTTTACAAATGTTTCTTTTCTTTCCTTCATTTGGATTCTATTAATTATTGATTTGTATTTGTTACACAAATTTTTGGTTTGCATCAATGATTTTCTGATTTGTTTTAGTTCTTCCGCTTACGATTTACCAAACCAATTAAATTTAATTCAATTTAGAATGAGTGGCCATCAAATTTTCAAATTTTTTTCTGGGTTCTCCCTTGTTTTTTTTCTCCAAAATTTGCCAATTTGTGGACATTCGTCTAAAGGTTTACGTTTAGTTAAAAGTAGTGAAAGCTTTTTATGCAAATGCTTAGTTAGAAATGGGCATAGAAAATCCATTAAAATGAAAGTTATACCAAAAGCTAAGAAGTAAGAGATAGAGAGACTCTAAAGCATTACAGATAGAGAGAGATACGATACGGATATTTCGATTGCTATGCAGTAAGTTACACATGTACAAAAAATAACCCGATTGATTAGGTGATTCATGGAGGGGAATTGTTTGCTAAAGATTATTAATTAAAGGAATATTTAAAATCAGTGGTTACAAATAAAAGTTATGAGTTTGAAATAATCTAAATCGAAAAAAACACAAACATTTCCCCCCCCTTATTGACAAATGATCTTAAATGTATGTAGAGCTGTAAAAGCTTAAACCATTCCTCATAGTAGGTACGCACTATGTTTAATGATGGTACAACGAGTAAGCGTACACCAAATAATAAATGTAAATTGCTACTAAACTTTACTACCAAATAAAACACTTAGAGTTCGATTTGTTTTGTTAACAGATTGGAGGGCGAACAAACAAATAAAGTGGTGACATGTTGTGCAAATAACAACGAAATTAACAATTAATAAACAACAATTAGCAGCTGAAAGCATCTGCGATCACATAAAGGAGGGGTTAGGGATAGGGAGATGTGATATGAACGGGCGACATGCAGATATGCAGATAGGGGTACGACGCTACTGATAACACACAAAACATTGAACAAATGAATATGATACGACTACTATTTATACATATATGACTAGAACAACAAAGAGTACAACAACAGCAACAGAAGGAGCAATATATAGTAGAGTAGTATGTAGTAACAAGTATATTATTGGGCAGCAATGGAAATTGGGGGGATTGTGGGGATTTAATACACAACATTGGTCGTAACATCTTTGAAGCTGTGTGTGTATGTGTGTGTGTGTGTGTCGTAATTGATTATTTGAACATTTTAGTACGTACCGTGGCTAACTTCTTCCATTGATCGATGTTTTTTCTTTGGGCTTTGGTGAAATGGTCCCAAACCTTCTTGTGACTAGCGGCATTGAACACTTTTTCAATCTGAGTGACTGAACAATAATGCAATAATATATAATAATATTAAGGGAGGGCAGAGGGTAGTTTTTTGTTTTAAGGTTTATCTTTTTTTGTTTGTTTTTTTTTCTTTCTATTTGATTTGATCACCTTTTCGGAACTAGACTTTTTTCGTTGTGAATAAAATGAGTGAGAAATGATAAGTAGAAAGAAAACTACTTGAGAGACCCTCGCATAGCATTTTTAAATATATATGTATGTATATATGGTATATAGTTATGGTTATTTATAGTTGATATTTATAATATTAGGTACAATCTAGAGAGAATACAACGACTTGTTACCTACTCGTATTTTTAGTCTGTGGTTTACTTTCGGTTTTCGGGCCTGGCCAGAGTCTAAGACTGCAAAGGACTTACGTCCCTTGATAATCGCAATGGATCTTTTGAATTTGTTCTCTTTCTTGGTTTACAAACCTTTGAGGCCAGCCTACTGCCTTCTGCCATTCCACACAAATAAGGAAATGACTGAGAATTTGGCCGCACAGTGGTACGAAATATGTAACATGACAAGCAAATTAAAGCAAGGAATTTATTGAAATTCAGTTGATTGCAATTTAAAAAAGGTTAATATTAGGGAAAGCAAGATCTATACTTTTTATAATAGATACAAAAATTAGAAATAAAAAACAATAATATACAAAAAAAAATTTGTAATTCTCCTTAAACTTTTTTGACTTACATTTTTTAAGCTCAACTCTTATTTGTGATATCTGTGTTAAATGCATACATTTTTGGGCATGTTCTTTACTTGCGTTTTCCAATTGAAAATAATTATGAAAAATTATTTTAAAAAGCCCTTCTGCACTAGAGCATACCTTTTATTGGATTGTTACTTTATTCTTCTCTCTGATCGCTTTTCAAATTGACTTTCGGCCACTGTGCGGCGCTTGATGTTTGTCTCTAGCTTTCGGCTGGGCATTACCTGATCCATGCTCGGATTTTGGGTTTACTCCCTTCGGCTTTTGTGATTTTAGACAGTGAGTTTTTGTGTACGGTAGATCGATGACTAGATTTGCTAGTGTATGAGGTGTATACGCGTAGATATATATGTATTTTCTGTGTGTGTGTGTTTGTGTGGTTGATTGTTCAGATTTACAGACTCTATGGAGGCTAAACCCGGGCGCAACGAAAACAGAAAAATAGAAGATTCAAACGAGGTAGGAAGGCGGGAGGGGGCGGGTCGGGGCGGCACCTAAATTTTCGACTAGACTAGGAGCTAAGAAAGCTTTTGTGGATTGAGGGGCTTGCTTGCCCCCACTAGGGGGGCCCACTTACATTGGGTGGACATGGTGCCCATCTGCTTGCGATAGCATTCGCGAGCCTTGCGCAAATCCTCCTCCAGCTGCTGCTTGTCCGTATGCAGATGCCTCACATGGGCGTGCGTGATCTGGATCATCGAGTAGAAGACATTGGCATTCCGCTTGGTGCAATCGCCACGCTCCAGCCAAACGCTGATCGTCTGTATGGCCTTCACAAAGGTCTCATTGCTGCGCAGCTGCTCGGCGACGGCGGTGGCCTCGTGCTCCGTGTAGTGGGGTATTGGCGGCGGCGACTGGGAACGCATTCGATCCAGCGACATGCGTTCACGGTGGCGCTGCTCACGCTGCAGCTGCCGCTGCTTGCACTCGTAGTCGTACTGATCGTCCCTCGCCTGGGCATAGTCCACGTGCAGGCGTCCAAAGTTCGGCGGTTCGTTCATTGCCGAGATGCGCAACCGGTAGCCAGACAGATAGATGGCCCGATCGATGGCCGTCTCGTGGCGGTAGCGTATGTGGCAGAAGTTCTTCTTGGACATGCGCAGGGTGGTTATCTCGCCGCACGACTCGAAAATCTCTCGGATCACATCCTCGGTTATGTTCTCCGGCAGACCGCCAACGAATACCGTACGACATCCGGGCGGGCGTTCCCTTATCGTAGGCGGCGGTGCATTGGGATTGGGTGGAAACAAAATGCAATTCTTTGTCTTGATCACCTCCTTAAGACCAGCCACTGACGAGCCATCTGTCGCGAACAGAGATAACTTTGTCACCATCAAAGGATCACTTGAATGTGCTGCATTCTTACCCGCGGCTAGAGCTGCATCCAGTCCAGCTACCCCGTCCGTGGGCATTCCCGCCACCGTGGCATAGTGGATCTGCTGCATTTGTTGCATGGCTGCGGCCATCATGGCCGTGGGATCCAACAGCATTTGTGCTGCATTTGCGCTGCTGTTACCTGTCGCTGCTGCCGTCGCACCAGCAGTGGGCGTGCCACCTGTTCCACCGCCCGCAGTCGTTTGTGCAGCAGCCGGAAAGTACAAGTAGCCCGGCGGAGTGTGCATGAGGCCATTCAGATAGAGCTGGGCATCGGGCAGCGACAACGATGCGGCCGTTAGCTTATCCACCGATGACTTGAGGCCTGTTGTCGAGGACACATCCGCCGGATGTCCATCCAGCTCGTTTTCGTTCTCCAGATCCATGGGGGCACTGCCCTGTTGTGCCAGCGGCTTCATCATTTTGTTGGGCGTCTGCTTGACGGGCGTTGCTGTCGTCGTGCCTGCCACAACCGCATTGTTGCTGTTGACCGTTGAGGATGTGGCTGCCGTCGAGATGGCGGCGGCCAACTGATTGAGGAAGTTTGGGTGATTTGGCAAACTGACGCCATTCGGCATGGTCCCAAAGAGCGGTACTACAGAAAAGAGCAGTCAAATTAATTACAAAGCCGGTAAATAACAATCAGCTGAACGGGAACCTTGGCAATTAGGACAGGGCGGGGGGCAGGGGAATCTTGTTACAATTCGATTCTTTCTTGGGGGTGGAGTGGGTGGTAGGGCTCCAAAATGGCGTAAGCACTGGGCAGCCAAAAGTGAAATAAAACCATTTTGTAACAGTCCAGCATCACTTCCATATAGTATTTCACTTTTGGACACTTTGTTTAGCAGTCTAAAGGCATTTTCCACCACATAACTCAATACTTACACATATTAAGAGCGAAAAAATGCCTTTTTTATGTATTAAAATTAAATCCGACGACCAGCATTGCCACCCCGAGCGCAAACAAACAGCTGACTGAACAACAGATGACCAGCATTGCCACCCAGTGCGCAAGCAACCAGCTGATTGAAGAAAATGCAATGATCTGGCCAGAATAACGACTGACAATGCTTTTTTTTCACAAATAAAGAAATGTGCACACACTGTCTCTATGATTCATCAGCTGTCCGGAAAACGAAATTAAAAACAAACAGCGCAAAAACTTGCGAAAATTTATAGTGGAACTAATTTAGAAGACTTTGCAGGATGTCGGTGAACACCGCCCATGCCAACAATGGCGTGCTCATACACGCTGGCGAGTAGTAAGTACATACGTACCGTTATGGCCAATATGGGACTCCGACTCGCTGACGTCAGAAGATGTGTAAACATGACGTGTGGAAGCAGCGAAAAGTCGCCAGTTGGGTCGCCCGCTATCGATTTGCCTATCTGTTGAATGCTAATACCAGTGCAATTGTACCTGTCCCCCCCTTCTATCAGCATACTGCTCCATAGCGACAGCGTTACCATGGACTTCTCGGGCCAGGACAATACCGTGTTCAAGGGCTCGAAGGCGGGACGCATCTATTTGACATCGCATCGCATGATTTTCAACAGCAAGAAGTCGGCGGACACCATGCAGTCCTTCAGTGCTCCATTCGTGGCTCTGTCCGATGTGGAGATTGAGCAGCCCGTCTTTGGGGCCAACTACATCAAGGGCAAGGTGCGCGCCCAGCCCAACGGCAACTATGTGGGCGAGGTCAAGTTCAAGCTGCACTTCAAGGCCGGCGGTGCCATTGAGTATGGCCAGGCGCTGCTGCGTTCGGCCAAGACAGCCATGAACAACTACCATCGCGGGGGCATGGCCGGTGACGATCCACCGCCGTATCAGCCGGCTGGTAACTGGAACGAGGCTCCGCCACCGGCCTACCAGCCGCCACCGGGCTACTATGGATGGCTGCCGCAGCACGATGCCTTCAGTGGCCCAGCACCGAATACGGTCTTCATGAGCGACAATCCGCCGCCGTATCCGGGCATCAGTAAGTATCCACCCAGCCACCCACCCACCACTCGGCTTTTGTTTTGCGATGCTTCCCCCTTGAAAATTGGAAACGAATCACTTGAAATTCTTGCACCGCAAACGCTTTGTCTAACCCCACAACTCGGTGCACTCTGCATTTCTATCTCGTCTATCTATAGCACCGCCGAACAATCAGCCAGCACCCCCACAGCCTCAGGCGCCATCGAATCAACCGAATTGGTATGGTTTTTCAGCACCACCGGAGCAGCAGCCGCAGCAACCGCAGCAGCCACAGCAGCAGGGATGGGCTGGCGGCTATGTCCAGCCGCCGCCTTATGCCGCCTGTGCCCCAAACTGTCCACCCGGTGCTCCTCCCTATGCAGTGCCGGCGCAGACCTACAATGGTCCGACTCCGTATGGCGGCTACAATGGGTATAACAATGTGCCCGGTGGCTTCATGCAGCCTCAACAACAGGCAAACGGTTATCCAGGGCCAGGAGGGCCGCCTCCTGCACAGCAGCAGCCCCCGCAGCAAGCAGGCGCCGCTGCTGGTGCTGCCGGGGCCAGTTTCATGGGCTTCAGTCTGCCGCCAGGAAGTGAGTATTAGCCACAAGAGATCCTTGAGATTCATTCACATATTCATTAATTATTCACCGCATTGCGACGCATTTAGATGAAAGTAAAAAATGCTAAAAAGCAAGTAAACAGAAGAAGAGTATCAAGTATCATATATCAAGGTTCCCTCGACAAAAAACCAATCAAGCAAATCTCATTTTATTACCTACAAAAATTATAATTTTATACAATTATGGGAACAACGGGGAAACTGGAAATATTTTCTAAATTATTTAAATAATTTTGTATTCCCCTCACAAATTATTATTTTCTATGCCTAATCCCCCATCACTGCGAAATCTAACCAAAAAAAAAAAAACCAATTCAGTAAAGCGAAAGCCAGTCGCATCCGTTGGGAAACCTAAAACGAATCACATTTCTTTTGACCTATTTTACAGTGTAATAAAAATCGACATTCTACCAACAAACAAACAAATGAAATCCAACCCCCCCAACAAGTAAGATTTAATTTTTGATGCGTTATACCCACAGAAAACTAACAAAAGCCGAGTCTCCAATTAGAATAGTTTATGCCTTTGTTTCGAGTGCCTGTTTAATGGTTTCTTCTTTAACTCTTGTTTTTTTTTTTCTTTTGTACCTCCTTCCACAAATGCGATCCTCAGTAGCGAGATTTGGCAGCACTCATCATTATTTTTATCCAATCCAAAGGCCGTTGTGCACTGTACTCGTCCCCGGTTTCATCCGATAAATACACGAAAACTGTAAGAGATGGAACCGTCTGTGTGCCGTTGGAAAATACAATAGAGATTGGAAAATCCAATGAAATATATTTCGAATTTCTTTGCTTTGTGCTCCATACAGATTCCAAAGAAGCCGAAGCTGCTGCAAGTGCCTATAACACACCCTATAACCAAGGCGGCCCTCGTCCCGGTCCATCTGGATCCAGCGAAATGCCTCCTTCATATAATGTATTTATCCAGCGATATTTCTTTGATTATTCTTTGATAATTACTTTACTGTTGCTTCCCCATTCGTAGAACTTGCCACCCAGCTATGATGATGCAGCAAGGAAGCACCAATAAAATCTACTCTATATTTTACTCCCTATAAAATATAATCGCAAAGGAAATGTTATCACTTGAAGCTCTAAATTAGGCTCATTCCTGAGTATATTCGTCTGCAATATGTATATAATATTAAGCTGAGTATTAACTATTGATTGCAAGCCGTTCTCAAACGCTAAATATTCCTTATACAGTTTTCAAGCTGTTTTCTGGTCACAAAACTGTTTTGTATTTGTTTTGTATTTTTTAAATTGGTTTTAAAATTTTTTTTATAAACTGCAAGAAATAGTTGTTGATATATTTGAATATGTGTATTGAAATATATTAAATCGGTATGCATTTCTTATGGTATAATTTGTTGTTGTAAGATTTCATCAAATTTAGGTTTCCATTTGTATTTGCATTTGCCTGGACTTCACTTTGCGTAGGTGTAACACCGGTTGTCTTATTTGTCTGGATAATTAGCGGAATAGTCCGACTTCAGATCTGTTGTCACAAAATTCATGAATTCCTTTCCCATCAAAATCTCTTCTGCTGAAGCGGGTAAATGATTATTTCCATATACCATGTTTCGAGGGCTAGCGAAGTCTTAGAAAGGATTTATTATATGATGTGTAGATAGTCACACGAAGACACAAAAAAAGCTCCAGTCTTGATAGTTGACTGCAGAAGAATCCACAAAGCATTCATACTATCTATCTAACTAAAATATAAATCTATCTAAATAAGGAACATCAAGCGTATACGTTATTAAAAAAAAAAAATGCTACCCAGCACTCGTATCCAGCGTATTTTTAGGATCATTTACAGGCAAAGCCGACTTGGTCATACTAAAAAGCCGCTGAAAGCGGCTCAATTGAGAGGAAAAACAGTTTTTGTGTGCCGACAGAGCCAACAACAGGCTGATTTTGGCCAATTAAGCAACGCGTGGGTGGGTGTTGAGCAGAGTTGAACAAAATCAATCGTATGCCACATGCGCAGTGGCGGGCGTGGTGAGAAAAATGCCAGGACATGGGCATAGCCAAAATATGTCCAGCAGGACAACAGTCCACAGGAAAAACAGTTTAAATAAATGGCAAAAAGGATAATTCGAAGCACGTTAATAAAGCATTACCAAGTGAAGTTTTGCCGTTGAATAACCAGCACACAAACACACACGAAAGTGGAAACCCACGGCACAGTGCATAGTTTTGGGTTTTGGGTCACAAATATGCCATCAAGTGCGGCAACTTGTGCCTGTTGTCTATCGATTTGTGTGTAAAACTCTTTCCCACGAAGCTGCTGCTGCAACGTGCACCCTGCAACCAGCAGTCCCAACAAATGCAAATAATGCAAACGCCACCCACACTGAGAGACGATTAATTGCAGCAAAAACTGCAGCTAAGCTGAAAGCGGCAACCCAACCGGAAATCGCAGCAATAAACAAACCCCCCAAAAGGAACCAGAATGGACGTGGGTGGACAGGAGACTACCTATGAGCCGCTGGACCGTGACAGGGGTGGCAGTATTCCGGCCGGCGAGGGCGGCCGCCGACATCCTGCCAGCATGGACAGTCCCGAGTATGAGACGCGTGCTCCCAAGGATCAGCGGCGCGCTGTGTATCTGGCCTTGATGGCAGCGGGCATTGGCTTTGTTTTGCCCTACAATAGGTAAGCAAACAATTCTTCCATCAAGTATTTAAATACCTAACTTATGTTGGAAACCTTTTTGCAGTTTTATAATCGCCGCGGATTACTGGCAGGGACGCTTTCCCGGTCGACATGTGGCCCTGGACATGTCCATGACATACATCTTTGTCGCCTTTGCCACGGTATTGCTGAACAACATTGTGCTCTCGCTGGCTCCCTTCCAGAAGCGCGTAATTTTCGGCTATATGGTGTCGTTTACCACCCTCGTGTTTGTGGCCGTGTGCGAGGTAGCCTGGCATATGTTTGCCACGAATACCGCATATTTGGTGAACATGTCCGCTGTGGCGCTGACTGCCATCGGCTGCACGGTGCAACAGTCTAGCTTTTATGGATTCGCCTCGATGCTGCCGCAGCAGTATACGCAGGCTGTGATGGCCGGCGAGAGCATTGCCGGATTTCTAGTGTCTTCCAATCGGGTGGTGACCAAGCTGCTCATCAACAACGATCGCGTGTCCACGGTCATCTTCTTTCTGACATCGACGCTGTACATAATCTTCAGCTATCTGCTGCACCGGGCCACCATCAATTCGCCCTTTGTGCGCTACCATGTGGAGGCCTGCTCCAAGATTATTCTGCGGCCGGATGAGGTGAGTGTTGCTCGCAATAACTTGCCCCAGAGCCACAGATTATGCCAGACATCCATATGCTGTGGCTCTACCAAGCAATGTAATGGACACAAGCTAATTAGTCACTCTCTCTCTTATTTATTCTCTCATTGCAAACAGCAGGAGATTGATGGCGTCCCAAGCACCACGCATTATGGAGTGCTCTCCATGGATGGAACACACACCACCACGACCATATCGGGTGGCCATGCGGCTGCCAGCAACACGCTCAGCTTCAGTAATCCGGTGTACGAGCTGTCCAATCCCACGGCCGGCGAGAGCAGCATCGAGGCACTCGGCCAGCTGCCATCGGATCTGCCGTCGACGCCTCATGAGCTGACCACGCCCACCACAGTTGCGTTCAAGGTGGAGCACGTGATCCAGCCGCGTCGCTGCAGGCCGAGCAAACTGAGCGACATACGCGAGGGATTTGTGGCCAGGTGGCGCGTGGCACAGGTCATCTATCCGTATATGGTGTGCATTGCCCTGGCCTACTGCGTCACCCTGTCCCTGTATCCGGGCATCGATGTGGAGGTGCAGTCGTGTGCCCTCGGCTCCTGGATGCCCGTCCTGCTGATGTTCTGCTTCAACCTGTCGGATGTGGCCGGTAAGATGCTAGCCGCCAGTCCGTATCCTTGGTCACGCCGTCAGCTCATACTGTTGTCGGGCCTGCGAATCGTGCTCGTGCCCCTGCTACTGCTTTGCTGTGCGCCGCGTCAGCGTCCCGTCATATCCGGAGAGACGGCGCCGTTTGTCTTCACCATCGCCTTGGGAATTACCAACGGATTGGCCGGGAGTCTGCCCATGATACTGGCGCCGGCCAAGGTGCCGGGCACGCTCAAAGAGGTCACGGGCAACATAATGACGCTCTCCTACAATGTGGGGCTGACCGTTGGCTCCCTGATTGGCTACGTGTTTGAGAGCATGCTGGGGCCGCAGCTTTTGAATCCCTGCCCCTCGTTTCCGTATGTGCCTGTGTCGATGCTGGAACACATTCACGGCCATGGCCACGGCCATATGCCGCCCCTGCCGCTGACCAGCAGCACCACCGTCCCTCCCACAACCAGCACAAGCGCAGCCACGTCGCTGGTTCCGCTCCTGCTAAATGCAACGATTGCGACCCTAACTGGAGCAGCCGCCAGCAGCAGCAGCAGCAGCAGTGTTAGTCCTCTAACCGAGAGCACCAGTTCCATGGGCACCACAGCCAGCCCGGCCTTGGCCACGGTCATAACCACCACAGCCCTGGCTCTGTACAGCACCGTGGCTGGCAGCAGTGCTGAGGTGATCAATGCCACCATGTCTACCTTTCTGTCTACGGTGAGCACTTCGGTGGGGGATATTAGTGATGAGTTGGCTGGGGCTATGACCACAGATCCACAGACCCCAGAGGCTTTGCTTGAGAATATTTAAACGGGCATTTGATCGACTGATTGCAAGGCTTACAAGAGAAACTCTATTTACTTGTTACTTGAGCTCTAAATCTGAATCTCAGCTCTGTCTACTCTCTACCATATCCCTTTCAAACTTATTTTTATGTAGTTTCAATGATTGATTAAAACCTTTCCACAGGAAGAAAACTCTTGTGAAATGGGTTACTTAGATATATATTCCACTCTGCAGAAAGAAAGGGAGATAGAGATAGAGTTAGAGAGCTAGAGAGAGATTGTGAATAGAGAAACATCCCATAAAATAATATAGAGAAACATTTTCTTTTCTCTAAAATACGCAAAAATTCTTCAGAATTCTATTCGAAAGTTATAAGAGAAAGTGTTCAAAGATGGTTCTTCTTGTCGTAGATGGCGTCTAGATTTCGTAGATATCATGGTTAAAGTGCCTACGGATTCGAAATATTTAAAGATATTTTAATTCTTATAAAAAGCTCTGCTTCAATGATACTCTGAAATCTTTTTCGAAATTTACAAAATTGATTTGACTTGCCCACAAAATATCTGTCAGCTCAAAAAAGTTATTAAAACTAGAATATACTCGTAAAATGCAAATAGCATTTGCCGTAAGCAAAACTACTCTTGTCTGTACTAATACCACATATGTATGTTGTATATCTTCTACTATAACTGAAATGTGTCTAGTATATCTTTTTTTAGTGGTTGATTTTAGCTGTTCTTGACTTGAGGATCTATAACACTCTGAAAAGATATAACAAAGAAAAAAAACCCTGTTGACTTAGACCTAAATATTTGGATAAGTGTGTGCTTGTGTGTGATCGATTAACGCTGTACGAAATCGAAATGGAATATTTGTTAAAGTTTTCTGTATCATTACTTTACGATTTACTTTGCGTTGCCAGCCCACAGAGTCCGGTCCAAATGGTGATTGATAGTACTTGTATAACACATAACAATATGAGTTTATTAACGAATCTGTTAAGCTTGGTCAGTGTGTTGTTTTTAGCATTGAAAGCATTCTCTGTTTTTTGTTTTGTTTTTTTCTTTGCCTAATTGTTTTTGTTTCGTATTTTTGTTAGCTCAAATCTTAGACAAAATGCAACATCTGAACAATTGATATTTGTTGATATTTTTATAAATAGCCGGGAACAGATAAATAAAATACAAAACAATGTTAACATATAAATAATTCAATATACCATATATGTATGTATTTTGTAAAGTACGAGCAGTGCTATGGCTATGGCTGGGTGAGAGGAGAGTCCCTTTATGGAAATATTTATTAAGTCGCCGGAACCCGTGGGCTGTGAGCAGTGAGGGATTACAGACTCTGCAGGTCATGTCGGTGTTAGTGTAACTAGATAAAAAAATTCAATAATTTCTTGTTTATAATCAACATACAAATGAGGAAACCAACAAAAAATAAGAAATTAGCCTTCAATGATATAAAATAAAAATAAAAATATAAAAACGCGATCCATATTCACTTCATTCATCGAATTCCATTTGTATATTCTATTTCCAGAGGATGTTTGCAACGCATAGAGAGATGCCCCTCCGACCACATATGTATATATATCCATTAGTCCGTCGGTCCGCTCGTTAATTTGAGGCGAATATTAATCAACAAAGCCATGGCTGTCCGGATGGATAGAGGCTAGAATACGAGAGATCTGACCATCATTGGCTGTCTGCAACCATTGAAAATATTTGTGTATATTTCTTACACATTTGAAATGAAAGTTTGTCGCGATTTAACTGGAAGCCACAGTAAGTAAATACTTTTAACTTTCTTGTTATATATAATATATTTTATGGCTGCCCACAGCACTCTAGGAAATTTTGCATTGTTTTATGTCGTACAATTTTTTATATACATATATAAATGGTTTTAAAATATGGCGGATAAAACTTTTGTTTATGGGACTGGATTGATTTATAAATACGGAACAAACTATAAATATGGTTTTTCTATACAAAAAAATTGTATAATATAAAACACTTTGGGGAATTATTAACGGTAATTTCCCAGGGGATATTATAGAATGCAGCTGTTAAATGAAAATTGCCTAAAAAATCTACTGTTATTTTATCATTTCCCTTGTATAATACAACATTTTTCCCCTGCAACTAGAACATTTCCCCTGCAACTGGGTTCGAGCTGAGACACTTTCTGTTCGAACTCAAACATGTTGGCAGCTTTAAATAATATTGTTTTTGATCCTTATATTTTGTTAGGCATTTATTTGATTTATTTATATAAAAATACTGTATAGAACATATATGTATTTAATGTTTATTTAAAGACCATATCTACAAATCGATAAACCGCATCGCTTTTTGAACACTTCCTTGGCCAACATTCCTTAGTAGTTCAAGCCCTAAAAATATGCCTTTACCCAACTTTCTTCACACGAACACGCACCCGCAGCCAGACAACACTAGATATTTCAGCATGCAAACGTACATAACTGTATGTCTATACATATATATCTATATATACGATTTTTGTTGGTGCAAAGCCTCACGTGTCGTGTCGTTGCTGTCCTGAAGAAAAAGATTGACAAAAAAAAAGTTTAGTGAAATAATGTGAAGGCGGGGAGGAAAACTGCTGCCTGGCATCTTTTTACGCTTTTCGGCTGTTGATTTTTCCTATTTTAACGTTTACCGCTACGTCCTTGGAGCGCCTTCGCCTTCTCCCCTTGGAATTATGGAAACGTTGGCGTTGGCCAATGCTTGAGCCTGCCATCTCCTGCTTCCCTCATTTGGTGAAAATAGAAAGGCATTTTACCGTTGCCTCTCTTTCCGTCTTTATCTTTTGTTTTTTAACGCCTTGACGGCGGTGTTTCTGCGCCTTTCTCCCAGTCAAATTTGTTGCTTTTCTTATTTTCGGTCTGTTCCGGTTCCCGGGTCTGATTAAAAGATAAGTTTTCGAGTGTTATTATATTTTCATTCACGTAGAGTAGAGCCCACAGGCTGAGGGGTAGAATTACAGTTGGTGTTCTGGTTTCAATTATATTTCAAATTTGACTTCAAAGGGACTCGCTCTTGACTAAAGCCCACATTGATTAATTACCGAATAGATTACACATAAATATGCTCGTAGCTATATGTATATTAATAAGTTAAGGTCACTCCAATATACACACGAATACATACATAAACCATCGTCCCTACACTTAACCCGTACCATGATGCAATTATTCAATTATCCATTTTTGTAATCAATTCAATTCAAGCTGAAATCGACGGTTTTTTTTTCTGCTGTCGTATTTTCCATTGAACCACTCTCAATTACTGGATTATTGATGCATATTAATAGCTTTTTGTTCCACAACACAACAATCTTACAATCACAAATTCTACAAAAAATGAGCTCGCTCGTTAGAGTGGCATAGTAGTCGAGTATTCGACTATGAGATACCACTTACTCAGATTTATGTTGATAGGGTAGGGCTATCCAGTGAATCTTATTGGCTTCACAGAAGAGTCTCAGTCGTTTATTCCTTTAATGGCAGATAAATCCTTGAGACTGTAAATACAATAGCATTTTTACTAATTATTTCTGTGGCAAGATATAAATTATTATTTGCTTGGCAGCGTTTCTTTTTGCTTACAACATAAATCCACACAGACACAATATACCCTTGGACTGGTAAGATATCGGATATTAAAAGAAGACAACAGTAAACAGTAAACAACAAAAAGGCGAAAGGTGTATAGGACAAGTGGATGGATAGCTCTTGGCTTGCAGCTTATTCATTATTATACGTATCGCATGGAAAAATGTTGTCTACTTGTCAAGTCCTTAAACCTTTTGGCTTTGGCCTCTCGCATTCACCCGGTAATTAACACTTTGTCAAGCTCATAAATCTTTAAACATTGATTTTTAATGGTTGGCATTTTAACGCTTCGCCGAGCAGTGGCTACGGCTACCGAAAACATTGAGGCCTGCCCCGCGCCAGCACGTGCGAGTTGACGTCCCGGTGGCAGTGGAAGGTGCGGTGTTCCCTGGAGAAAATTAATAGGCATTGGCCTTGGCAGCGCACGAATTTTCGGTGTATTTATTTATCTCTTACTTGGTGGAATGTGCTGTGCGGTTTTATATAATAAAATCACTTAAAAAAATACTGCCAGGGCAGATGTCACGGGAAATCTAAAGAAGTTTGATTTGTGGGAAGGAAATTTGTAAAAGTTATAGATTCCAGGTTGTTCTTTGGATCAGGTTGTCTCCCATCGAATGGGAATGGACGCAAGATAATGCTTTATTATTTTTTTTTTTTATCCGGTCCAAAACCATAATACCCATGTCTATGGCATTATTTGAGTTAAGAGAATTTTCTTGGTAAACAGAACCAACAAAATTCGTATCCTTTGAAGCGCTGCTTATAAAATATATATATATATATATACACCTATATATGTATGTATTATACATATATAAAGTATAATACAGTTGTTCTTGGCATTGGACGGGTGGGTGTCTGTGAGTGTGTGTCAACGAATTATGTCCCCCAGATGTCAGTGGAATACAAGCGAGAAACATGACAGTTCCGCCTCCCTCAGCCATAGCCACAGCCATAGCCACAGCCAAAGCAAACGACAAGGACAACCGACAGTTTGTGATGCACTGGGAACAACTATCCGTTCCATAAGTATTCATGCATTTATCCAACATGTTCCGCCTTTCTCCTCTTCCCCCAGAGCATGGAGAACCTCATGTGTGAGAGTGTCCTATTCTTTTCTTGTATAAATCCCTGCTTTGGGGCTGCGGCTCCTCTCTCTCTCTCTCTGGGAAGGGGATGGGGGTGGTAAGGAGCGGAAAGTGTGTTCCATTTGTCAACAGCAGAGGGAGGAACGGCACTGGCACTGGCACTGGACGTGGCAGACAAAAGGCCAAAGGAAAATAAGAAAAAGAGGCTCCTGTGGCGGCGGCGTTGGGTGGAACTGTGCGGATGCTGATTTTGATTCGGATTGTGGCACATCAGCAGCTTTATTATTATGCAAATACAAACCAAAAATATGAATTATGTTAATGCCATGTGTACACAGACGACAGACAGACAGACCCAGACCCACCACCCACAACCACGCAAAGACGCAGTGAGGATAGAATGTCCAGAGTGCAGCAGTCAAAGTGCACTGAAATAGGGGTGGAGATCTCTCAGAGATCTCCTAAAATATTCACATGTTTGATTTCGATGCCATACTGGCAGGAAGCAGAATGGTTAAGGAAATGTGAATGCTTCACCTTATTTTTAATGCACTTTGGGCGCAGCTTTCATGCAAAAGCCGACGATGAGCAGCTCTCCCGCATTTCACTGCAGCCACTCTTCACGCACTCACTTGAAAATCATTGGCTTTGTATACCCTTATTATGCTGACCAGCTTGGGTTACATCTCTCCACAGATCCGCAACTATGTTCTATATACCAAGAAATGTATATGCCATCTAGCGGCTCCAGGAACTGTGAACCTGCAAGCCAGCCTTCGAAACTTGTCCCCCCGCCTTAACCATTTTATGTTGGCAAGGAGAGCTCTGAGCAGCTTATTTATGATGTCCATGGTACAAGTATGGACTACCGATGGATTTGGCTGCTAAACAATGCCCCAAAGGAAGTCAAAAAGGC